AGACATTAAAGCATAAAGTGCATTTTATGATTTCTTCAAATTTGCCTCCTATAGACAAAAGAAATAAATCCTTCAAGATCAACAAATCATGTCGTCCAGACAGATCTGGCGTTTCAAAATCTGGTGTTCGATACCTTCACAGCCATTCCATTAGCGTCGGTACCAAAGGACGCAGCAGATGGGCAGGTATTCGGGACGCATTGTGTGCTGGTCTCAGAGATGTGGATCAAAGAAGCAGGAATATTCAGCTCTCGACTCGCCACCTGTGAGAAAACAGCTGAGATTCGCCCAAAAACGATGAAATGGTTACAGATACATGCAGAAAGCAGGAAGTGGTACCTGTTGTATTTTAGTGTGTACACCTTGGCCCATTTCCGTCCCGCCGTGGCTCACTAGCACAGACCCATCCTTATAAATATGCACGAGAGCGGCAGCCTTTGTTAAAAACAAACGAAAACACCAACAGATCATTTGGAGTTCATTTAAAATAATATAAAAGACACTGTGGCATGTATTAGAAGAATGTAACCTGGTTGAGGAAGCCCTCAGCAAACCCAATGCCATATTTGATGGGCACAATGGCGATTCCTCTCTTTTTGAACTGGTTCTGCTGATTAAAAAGATCGATGGCCTGCCGGCGCTGCCTGAAGTCAGCTTTTTCCATACAGTCGTTCCAACAGCGGACAAGATTCTCTGGGTCAAACTCCATCTTGTAGTGAGTGAGGGACACTTCCTTGTACATGTTTATCTCCCTGATCTGCAAAAATAAAATGGAATAAAGCACAAATAATGAGAGATGAAAATAAATAAGTAGATAACTATTTATTTACTCATTCCCAGAAAAGCCTATATTTATGACAATCAATCAATCAATCAATAATCATTAACATATCATCATCAAAGGCTATATTAATTCCAATAAATAAATATTTATTACCATGTCAGCATCAATGATTATATTAATTCCAAGAAATAAATAACAAATTGAAATTTCAGCAACAAATGCTATTTTAATTCCAATAAACAAACAAATAAATACATTTTAATTACCATATCAGCAAAGGCTATATTAATGCCAATAAATAAATATTTAAATGAATGAATCATAAATACATAAATATTAATTTCTATATCAGCATCAAAGGCTATAATAACAAATTTATTTCGCATAATAATGTGACAATTTTGTGACTGAGTGACACCGACCTCTTCAGGCAGACGGCCGAGTTTGAGTGCAACATCATCGATCATACTCTCAACGACCAGCATGCACTGCGGCACACCGAACCCTCGGAATGCAGTGTTGGAGGGCAGGTTGGTCTTGCAGGCCGCCGATTGGCCACGCAGGTTAGGAATGTTATAAGCATTATCAAGATGCAGGAGGATCTTCTCTGCCACCTTCAGAAGTAAAATATAAGAAAAGTGATACAGTATTCATTTCGTACTATATATTCTACAATGACTTTCACACAGGTGCCTATTGTGGCCAAAGCAGCACCCTGAACGAGTAGCTTCCACTTTTAAGCCACTATTTTGATCTTCAGCAGGAAGGCAAATCATCTCACCAGTACGGATTCATCTGCTGCGTTTCCAGCGTTGGCATAGTACTGGAAATCAGCTGCTGTTATCCTCCCGTTCTTCATAAAGCCTACCTGTTGGAAGTAAAAATATGCAAATAAATTACATAAATACAGATTAGATAAAGTTGTTATTAGATTAAGTGTTTAGAAAAAGCACTAGCCTTATATTTTCCCCACACCGGGTGGCGTCCTCCGGTAATTAACATGTCCTCTCCTCTCTCCAAAACACATCGTACTGGCCGTCCAGTCCTGAACAGAGAGAGAAAGTAAGTGTTATAATTGCCAAACTTCTACATATTAAAAATATTCATATGGTAAATACAAATGTAAATAATTTATATTTAATATGTAATTGAAATAATCATGATGATTCTGATGTTTGTGTCCAACTTATTTTGACTCACTTCCATGCAGCAACAGCAGTGATGGAGGCCAAAATGGCGGTTTTGGTGACCTTGCCTCCAAAGGCTCCGCCCAGTCGCTTAACGTGACAAGAAACACGATTGGACGGGATTCCCAGCGTCTCAGCTACTGACTCCTACAACAGATTAGAACAAAACATATCTTTCTTGCACATTTAACTCCCT